CAATTGATTTTTCTCTCCCAATTATCAATTCAAGTTCTTAAAAAACAATAGGTGTAGGTAGTCACACCAACCCTGTTGGTACAGTGTTTCTATCAAGTCATCTTTTAAGCTTAGCTGCCCTCAGGTTATACAGTGGGTCACATAGGGCTCTGGCCCAGCATCTGATACAGTAAGCCCCTGAATGATCTTTGAGGCACACTAAGCTTTTAAATCTTTTTTGTCTTTTAAACATTAAAAAATAGTTTATTATTTTTATTTTATGTGTATGAATGTATTGCCTGCATGTATGTGAGTGCACCCATGTCGTGCAATGCTGTGGAGGTCAGAAGAGGGCATTGGATTCCCATGGAGCTGGAGTTAAGGATGGTTCGTAGCCACCATGTAGGTGCCGGGAATTGAATCTGGGTCCTCTGCAAGAGTAGTCAGTGCTCTTAACCACTGAACCATCTCTCCAGCCCCAAGCTTTTAGATCTTAATATCCTTAACATACTATTGAGGCAACATATTTTTGCTGTTTTTTTTTTTTTCTTTCCCAAACTGTGTTTCACTTTGTACCCTCTCCTGGATTGGTACTATGTAGTCCAGGGTGGCCTCACCAGTCCTGGCTTTCTCACGGTTTTCCTGATATTTTCTTCATTAATCCCAGCACTTGGGAGGCAGAGGCATGGAGATCTCTCCAACAACAAATGAACTCCCTTGCCGGGGTTATGCTCCACAACAAAAGAACACTGGACTTGATAACTGCTAAACATGGGGTGAAAAAAAAAAAAAAAAAAAAAAAAAAAAAAGAAAAAAAAGAAAAAGCAACAGCAAAAACAAAAATAGTCATGTTATTTTATTGTTTCCTGTCAGTTTTAACAGAAATATATTTTTTAGATATCTTTTTAAAAGTTCCCCAAATTCAATATTACAGGGAAAATATTCATGCTTATGATCTTCAGCTGACCTTTTCAGAAGCTTACTTTTAAGAAAGTAAATGCATTTTAGTAGTTAACGTGGGTTTTGCTCACAGATAATGAAGACTAGCAAAGATGGGTAAGAAAGGTCTGGAATATGCTAACTTTTATAAAGTAGGTTAAAAGCATTTCCCTCCTGAAACAGAATGTTCTCTTGCTTTTTTCTTGTGTTTTGCTACTGAAATATAAATAGGTGTAACAATTAACTTCAGATTTATTGCTGGAAATTAATGTGCACAAGTGGTGATGGAAAGTAGACTGCAAACATAAATTTGTTCTTTGGTTTTATTCTGACAGAGATTTAGGTTGGCTTACATTAACCTACCACTGTAGAACAGGAAGTGAAGTCAGGTAGTAAACTGCTTCCTGTTTTCTTTCAGGAAGAAAACAAATTATATAAAAAATATACTCAGGCAGATTTCAGTGTCTCTCCAGCAGTCCATCCTATGTACAGTCCTGATTTAGCATTAGGAAAATGTTGTAATCTCATTCCCTTGACCTCAGTCCCACTCCCTAATTTTCTGATGTATTTATTGTGGGCATGAGTTGGGCATTATTTTTGGAAAGCATCCTAAGTGATTCTAATGAGTAGAAAGAGAGCCACAAAAAAGAATAGTTTCTTCCTAAACATTTGTGCTTATACTGAAGGCATTCAATCTATTCACAGCCAAGCTGTGTCCCATGACCTCAGCATATTGCTTGTGCTTTCCTGCTTCTGTTATTTGCCCAGGCATGCCAAGAGTTTCCTTCTTATACCTTTTTTTCTTATTCAAATTCTTCCCTATTATTCAAGACCCAGGTGAGTTTATACCTCCTCCATGAAGCCTCCCTTGACCATCTTTGACCTGAGGACTTGCTCCTCTGCTAGAACAACGAATCAATTATATACTGGCTTATGCCATCTCTTCTACTGTTACAGTAAATGATTAATTGTTGTTGAACTTTTCACATTACCCAGCTACCTGTGCTATAAGTTTCTAACATTCATTTGCATCCATGATGAATCAAGTGCCTGTACAGAGCAGGAAGTTATTTCTCCCCACCTTTCATGCCACTTCAGGTGTGGCTCAGAAAGATCTTCATCTCCTGGAATCTTGCCCTGGTCCTGATTGTCCTTCTTGCCACCAGACACCTGGCTCTTTAAATCAGGCCAACAAATTAGGGGCCAACATGGCCAATAGCCAGTAAAACTGATTGTGTGTGTATATGTCCTCTTCTGCCTACCTTGTTTACTTTTCTATTTTATGATCTAGTTGACTCTTTGGATTTTCTCCTCCCTGGACCTTCACTCCCTTATTCTAGGACTTGAAAGTAGAATTTAACCTCTTAGTCTTTCACTGCTTGTGTTCTCTAATATATCAGGAAGTAACACACTCCAGGTTCTTCCTGTCCCTATTCCTTTGAGTTATACACTCCCACTGAACATATTCTGATCTAGGGGACTGAAATCATCATGCCATTTCTCCAATGGTACCTGGGATTAATCTATTAAGATTTCTCTGAAAGGGAACAGACATACTGCTGTTCTAGAATGCTCACTCTTTAAAAGAAACCAGATTATATTTGATAGAATGTGTGAATTGCAGAAGAGTCACAAGCCTCATTAGGGAAAGCCATAAATCCCTTAAAGTGTCTAACTGGCCCTAAATTGGCAGCCTGGCCTTGCTCAAGCCTGGCTCTGCTCACCCCTTATCAGTTGGTCACTCCCAAGCCTGAGAGAAAGTGTTTGTGGAGCCCACCTGTCTCCTCTAAGGCCATAGATAACACTCCTGCTAGTTTTTCTAGGGAAATAATCTTGAAAAGAAGACCATCAATCACTCCAAGGACACAAGCCCCGGCACTAACTCAACTCCCCACTAAGTGCAGCTGTGTCCCACAACCCTGGTTAACCCCTACCCCCATTTTATTTATCTAATTGTAGAAGCTTGGTTCCCGTGGACAGCCTCTACCTCTCACTGTATCTTCTTTGAATAAACGAAGATCTATTCCTTGCCTGTTGCAGGTCTGGTTCTGTTTCCTTGTCTCCTACTCCTCTATCTTTCCTTTTATTTTCCAAAAATCTAACGATATTGGCTACGTGATTCAAAAATTCTGTTGAGCTGGAAGGTAGTGCAGTGGCAGGAGGCAGGTTCAAGGTTAAATATTGAGACGATGCCTCACAAAAATCCAAAATGAATACCTAGCTCCCAAACTTGTTGGTTTCTCATTGCCTATAGAATAAAATCTAAACCTGAGCTGTCTGGCGGGATGCTATTTAAGTTAAAATTTGAGTTCCTGGGGCTGGCAAGATGGCTCAGTGGGTAAAGGCATATGCACACACACTTGACAAGCTGAGTTTGATCCTGGGATCCCATATAAAGGTAGAAGAGACAGTATTCTATAACATGCTGTCCTCTGACCTCCACACATGTGCTATAGCATGTGCTCACATACACATGCACATTATGCACACATACATACATAGTGATAAAGTAAACAAACTGAGTTCTTCAATCATGCCATAATCTAAGTGCTCAATAGCCACATAGTTAGGTGCTGCCGTTTTGGACACTACAAATAAAGAACGTTTCAGTGTTGTAGAAAGCACTCTAAATGCTGCTGGGCTAATTATCTTATATCAGCCCATGAGGCTTTTCACAGTTTTGTGTCATCTTTTTGCTGTAGGATATTTTTTGACTGCTCATATTTTGGCCCCATCCTTTTTTTTTCTATCTTTCTCCATGTTTTCTGACTACTCTGTACTCCTCCACAGCCCTATGCCTTTGAACATGTTGCTTTTGCTTCCTGAAATGTTCTTTGACTTAAAAATAATTTTTTTTTTGGTATAGGAGATTGATCTTGTGGGCTTAGCACACACTAGTAAGTGCACTACCACTGAACTTCACCTCCTGCCCTTTTAAAAGTTTACTTTGACACAGGGTCTTGCTAAACTGCTCAGGCTGGCCTAAACTTGTGACCTTCCTGACTCACCTTCCCAAATAGCTGGGATTACAGGCATGTGCCTCCACCCTGATATAGTCATCTTTTTAGATACAACTCAAGCATCTTTCTTGTGAAGGTCTCCAATTATCCAAAAGATAATTTCTTGTCCTGTATTCTTCTTGCCCATTGAACATGGCTCACTAATGGCCTTAACACCAGATTTTATTGTTACTATTTCCTTATATATCTGCCTATGCCTTTGAAGGGAGGAATCCCATTCTAACAATCTGCCCTAATGACTAACTAAAATTAATCGCTTAATACCTTTTCCAAGGGATACATATATATTATTTACGTGCTTGTTATTTCTTTGGCATGTTTAAAAAGTTGCTTAGTGCTTTGGAAAACTTTTTTTTCCCATTTCTAGCATTAAGCTAGAATGCCTTCCTGTCTTCTGGTTTGGAGGTGGTTTTTCTTCTAACCAGACTGGGGTTGAGAGGGATGTGGTGGGTGTGGTTTACAAGATCAAATGTGGTAGGATGTATGCAGTAGCTGGTTCACAGGGTTCTAATCCTCATGCATTTGTTTGGGAAAAGAATAGAGAGAGATGGAAAACAGATCCTGGAAAGAAAAATTAGAGAAATATATTTGAATTTTGGCTAACGCCAAAAGCAGTGGCCTAATAAAAGGGGAGGGTTTTCATTGTTATTTCCAAAAATGTACATGTTACAGTTTTGTGAATAGAATTACTTGAAAATTCAAGTAATTAAATATCAATTTTTCTTTCTGATTTTGTTTCACAGCTTCTGCTAAAGCTTTTCTTCTGAGAAGACCTTAAGCTCTAAAGGGTTCAGAGTTCTGCAGCCTTCACTGGTAAGTATCCCCTAGCAGGCCAACTCAAACCCTACAGTTAATCATCTATCCGAGCATCTCCGACCACGCCCATATCTCCGACCACGCCCACTCCTCTCACCCTCCCTCCCATCTTATGGCTCCGCCCAACCGCAGTAGCGGAACAGCCTCATTGGTGAAGAAGTTGTTCTGGTCCCGCCCCGGGGGCTGGCGATAGGATGTCCTGGCGTGGGGCGGTGGTGGTTGGCTGCCTGGGGACCGGTCCCTGGTTGTGCCTGTCAGAGTCACTGGCGGCAGTGGCGGCTGTCGGGGCCGGGGTGTCAGTCAGCGAGAGGAGGGGGAAGATGGCTCTCTCGGACCCGTTCTGCTAGGAGGAAGAGGGGCAGGTGGCGCGGCCCGGCCGAGCGAGCGGAGCAACAGCGGGCGTCGTGGTCGCGCGGGGAGGCGGCGCGGCGGGGGCTCGGGAGCTTCTCTGGTGAGTGCGGCCGCGAACCCCACGCGGGGCCCGGGCGGCCGGGGACCCACAACTTTTTTTTGGTCAGGGAGGAGCCGGGGCGAGGCGGCGGCGGGGAGCCGGCGGGACTTTGTCCCCGGGGCGGCGGCCGGGTTGGGGGTAACGGCTGGGCGCGAGGCTACGCGGTGGGCGCGGGCCGGGCTGGGGCGGCTGGGCGAGCCCCGAAGTTGGCCACGGCTAGGCGGCGGCGCGAGGCTCCGCTTTCCGGCCGAGCGTGCAGCGTGGGGCGCGAGCGCTGCGGGGTGCGGGGTCGGCCTAGGGCGGGACCCCCGGCCGCCCGCGGCCCGGCCGCCCCTTTGCGCCCTGCCTGGGCCGTCGCCATCCGTCCAGCCCCGCGGCCGAGATGGTCCCCGCTGGCCCCGCTTCTCAGCCGAGCAGCGTTCGCCCGGGGCTCGGGTCCTGCGCGGGGCGGGGAGGTTTAGGAAGCAAACATAGTTCCTGCCTCGGCTGTTTGTCTCCCTGAGAGCTGCCCGCGCCACCCTCCATCCTGGACTTACTCCTTTCCCTAGGCTGATGTGGCCGCGCTTGAGAATCGTCGGATTTCTGCCCAACGTGGTTTTTTTTCTTTCTTTATCATCCCAAGTTTGCAGGCTTCAGCAGAGGTTTGTGTCTTCTCTGCGGCGCGCACGTGTGTGCTTTGTACCTTCTGAACTTAGGCGTTCTTGAAAGATTTAAATTTGGCCCTAGAGGTTTTGCACTGCACAGAATCGCTTCTTGGCTAAAACGCTAACCGCTGCGAGCTTAGGTAGGAGGAGTGCATTCGCGTTCTGCTACTACTTTGCTCTGAGACTGTTACCTATAGGGCGACGCTGGCCCTTTGCAAAGTGTGTGCCCCTTGGGTCACACAGTAGGTTTTGGAGTAGGTGTGCCAGGCTCCATGGCTCATGCAGCACCTCGAAGTTCGAGGTTTTCGTTTTTTAAAACTCTTATCTACATAAAACCATAAAGATTGGTGTAACTTTGAAGCAATGCGATAGTCCTGGGAGGCGTCCCTAAGAACGCTCAGAGGCTTAACAGCCTCAGCCCTCCCTCCATCATTTGCAAGCACTTTCCCCTTTTAGGTTAATATATTTTAAGGCTTACAAGATGAATATTAATATGTCTCATGTTTTGAAGTACAGGGAAAGACAAGAAAGGAAAAAATATAAGCTGCTTGGTAAGAATAGCATTATTTTTTTTTAAATTTATTTATTTTTATGTGTATGAGTGTTTTATCTGCATGTGTGTAAATGCACCCATGTCCTGCAATGCCCGCAGAGGTCAGAAGAAGGCGTCAGATTCCCCTGGAACTGGTGGATGGTTGTTAGCCACCATGTGGGTGCTGGGAATTGAACCTGGGTCCTCTGTAAGAGGAATTGGTGCTCTTAACCACTGAGCCATCTCTCCAGCCCCAAGAATAGTATTAATTTTAATAACCATTTAGACAGATTGTCAACGGGAATCCTATCACATATCTAGGAAAAAAATGTCTAGAGTGGCCTTTTTTGTTGTTTTTAGTTCATGTTATAGTTATTTGATTAAAACATGATTACCAGAGAGGGATCAGAAATCCTGTTAGTAATCAGCTCTGGGTATGGAATGAGGGATGGATTGGATTTGTGTATTGTACCTATTGTTTTTTTTTTTTAATTAGTAATTAGTGTGTATGTGCATGCATGTGATCAAGTGTCATGGTGTTTGTGCAGAAATCAGTTGATTTTCTCCTTCTACCAGGTGGGTTCCAGGTGTTGGTTGACTTAGGTGATCAGGCTTGGTGGCAAGAGCCTTTACCTATTGAGCCATCTCACTGGCCCTCTTCTTCCTTTTTCTAGGATGGTGGTGGTTCCCCCCCTCCCCCGCTTCCTCCCCCTCCTCTCTCCATCCCCTCCCCCCTTCCTCCTCTTCTTCTTTCTATTTTATGAAATCTGCTCTTGGTTGAATCTTTTTAGAGTAGTATAATTCTCATGGTGAGTTTAAATATATCTTTTAGACCGTGGTCTTATTCAGTATCCTGTTGCCTAATATATATTTTTTTATAATCCTAAGCAATCCTTCAAATGGTATTAAGACTTTTTTGAGGAGTATCAAGTTCACATTTCGTAAATAGTTGAACTTATTTCAGCCCGCATTTCTCCAGGCTGAACAGGTCCTAGAAATGTGAATGTGAATGCTCTTCTCCTCAAGGAATTTACTACGCAGAGTACAGAGTATTAGTGACATTGCAGGAAAGTGACCTTTATAATAATACCATGTGAAGGTATGAATAGAGCATATGAATAGCCTGGTGTAGTGACTGAGATGAGAGTAGAAGATGGTCAACTACATTGGATACAGTTGTTGAGAGTGCACAGCAGGGTTTAGGCCCAAGAGACACATGAATTACTTTCTAAGAGGGAGATATCAGTGAAAGGGCAAAGAGGTACACAAAATCATGGCAGTCAGAGAATTTGCTGACAGTGACAAAGCCATTATAAATTGATTCTGTCATCTGACATTGCCAGTAACGTTGACTTTGACCCATCTTGGTACAGGGTTAGTAGGGAAATGGTGGAAGATAAGGGGGATAGTGCCGGTGGTGGAGGACCAGGCTAGGATGTTCTATCCTTTGCTATAAGGATTGAATTAAAGGTGTCAGATGAGAATCCACATAGTTAGTGTTGTATTTGAAAAGACTCTCACTCTAGCAGAGTAAGGTAGAGTCTGATGGCTCCTAATCATCTGTGGGAAGAAAAGAGGAAGCAACATTCTCAGGATTTGACATGGTTCCATTGATTAGAAATGAAGAGACATACATATTGAAGTGAAGTGAGGAAACAGTGGAACAGTCAGATGAAGATATAGATAGGCATTTGGACCTGGATATGGAGTGTGTAAAAGAATCAGGAGTAGAGAGGGTGGGGGTGGAATTGAAGCTGTACTTCACTTGGTTCTGTAGAAAGGAGTCAGGAAAAACCTTTAGCATGGTAAAAGCAGTAGCCAGAAAATAGAATAGTGGAAATAGAAAGGTAGGAACATCTGGAGCTGCTGTGAGTAGAGGTTTGCAGATAGAGGGGGAACAGCCGAAGATTTGAATGATGTAAAGTGGTGTGAAGTAAGGGAGGGATCAGTGATCAGTGACTGTCAGGAATTCATAGGTGACTTTAACAGTGGTAGTTCAGAAATCAGTAATCAGAATACTGAAGAGTGGGCGGTGATGAAGAAGAGGGCTTGAATGAAGCTTCTCAAGAGAACCAAAGTAAAGACGGGAGGAAATGGTAGCTCTAGACTGGCAGTGCTTTATCTTGCACATATATCTATAACTTTCTTCAGAACATCAAGTATTTTTTGTTATTTTCAGAAAAACCTCACCCCTATTCCAATGGGGGCAGGATAGGATCCAGACATATGCATTTATTTAAAACAAGTGCTTTCTAAGGTGTAATTGGCATATAATAAATTATACCTATTTCAATTGTGCCCCTTAAATATTTAATATATGTTTATACTTGTAAAACTATTACCACAATTGAAATACTGACATGTAAATTACCTCCTAAAGTTTGCTTATATTCTTTGTAATCTTTCTTTTGTAACACCAGGAAACACTGATCTTTCTGTCTGTATAGGATTAGGATACTTGCTCCCTGCAACCCCCCCTTTTTTTTTAACAGTTCCTTAGATAACGTCAATGTGCAGATGTGGTTTTGAAAAGCCACTGCAGTAGAGTATAGGTTAGAGGAATTTTATGTTATGTTTGTATGCATGAGGGAAATGACAGGAGAAGAGAGGCGACAAGAGGCTCAGGAAAGATGAGATAATTATTCCAACTCAGTCATTGAGTACCTTGAAGAGAAAGCAGACCAGTAAGAAAAGATAGTTCTGGAAGCAACATCTCTAGCAAGGACTGTGATATTAAAGATGGTGTGTTTCTTTGTCATCATTGTCAATATTGTCATGTAGTGTTGAGATTGGTTTTCTGAAGCACCTTTTAGGTTCTCAAAAAAGTTAGGGAGCATCTCAATGTTGTTAAAAATGATGTCCCTTAGAACACCTTCTATGGAGCCTCAGACCCTTAACACCACCATGTAAAGCTTTCCCCCTTTTTTTGGAGGGAAGCAGATGGAATTAACAGTCTATTGTTTATTGTTTGCGAGCCAAGTTCTGCCAAAGTCTTTTTGGTCCTTCCAGAGTTAGGCTGACTTTCTGAACAGAGGAAAGAGAACATTTAACACTCGAAAGTCTCCTGTTTAGAGCATCTTTGCTTAGAAGAAAGTCCACTTACTTGCCGTTTAGATAGTGCCTTATAAATCATTGGAGGAGAAAATAATTTCTGTTTCCACAGGGAGACAGAGACGAATTGTGATTTGAAGTTGTCAAAGGCCTATACTTTGCATCCTGTGGAAGGTAATACCTGTATTCCCTCCACCATTTTTCTTTTAAAAAATGTCCTACTCAGGATTTGGTTATAGTTAAAATCTGAGTTGTATTGGATCGAAGGTCCAGGGCTTATTTCTCACCCTCAATTCTTATGTTTGGCAGAGGGATGAAAACAGAATGACTGGTATATGAGTGCTAATTGGCATGGTACTTGACTATAAATAAAGGGGAAGTGAAATACTTTATCTGATTGTCTTCTAGAGCTTTGAAAAATTCATTGTGATTAAAGAAGTGTGATCTGACCTACAGAGAGAAGACATTCCTAATTTTGATGTACCCTACAAAGTGGGAATATGAATGTTAATGTGATTTTGAATACTATTGTTACTGTAATCATAACAATGTATAGATTCTATATACTCTCTTTTACTAATATATTAACTAGTCATAGGAAATTTGGAAAATTCGGTAATGCATAAATGACAAACAGTATTTATAATATGTCTTTACCAGAGATACATATTAAAGTATTTAGCTGAGTATCCTTACAGGCTTTTAAAAATGATTATTTAAAAAATTTGTTTACTTTCTTATTATTTATTGTGTGTGGTACGTAAATGGGGCTC